GCAGGAGCTTACATCGACCTCATGACGGACTTCACCAGGTCATATACGGGGGTCGCCACCGACAGGCTGCGCCTCGAGTGTAGCTTACGCTTAGAGGGCTGCTATACAATTTTTACAAATCGGTCTCAGCAACAACAATCTATAACGCACTGTAAACCGCGACGGAGTCTAGTACGAGATGCGTCCTAAGACTCCCAGCAAGTACGACCTCGAAACGACCACATTACACAAGACAAAGCCACTCGTAAGTACCTTCCTTGTTCCTTGCACTTGAGGCTTAGGGAAAAACACAGTTCACTTAGCTCACGGACCAAATTAAATATGGGGCTTTCACCCGGCCCCTTGCTCCTCAAGCAAGGAACCTCATGGCTTGGCCCGTAGCCACAATGAATCTTATTCCCCCCAATGCCTGAATGTTGATATGAAAATGGTCCACGTGCTCGTGAAGATACCGAATGGTGAAGCTGATTTTGGAAGCGAGGCCTACAAGATGAAAGCAACGCTAGACGAAATTTTCGAGAGCACTGTGCTGAAGAAACGCAAGGTTTATCGCCTCTCGAAAATGGGCTCGTTCGTTGAGTTTCTAAACGAGTTCAATATTCGATTTAGGTTAGGGCGCTAAATTTATTGGATGCTGCGAGTCTGCGTGCTAAAGCGTTCAAGTGGGAAATTGCTGGAAGTGAGCATAACCAAGTGGCTATCACCACGGATGAACAAGATCGCGAACATTGTAGCGCATATATGAAAGGTTCCATGGGCGACGAACTCAAGAAAAAGCAACTCTGCCCATACAAGGTGAAGAAGGAGAGACGTCCTTAATACTCAAGTCCCGGGTCACGATATGGGAAAAGCTTTTTTCTATGAGCAAAAAGGCTATTTTATATTCAGGGGGATCAATTATATTCAAGGGCTTCTTTGTATTATCGACAGATGCTTTCTATGAAATTAAATTATTTGCGCTCTATTGTTTTATATTGCAGTAATAAGGTTGTTACCTGTGGTTTCGTATTGTTGACCATAATAAGCTGACGTTATTTCCAGTGAAAATGCAGGTTACAGTATTGCTCTGTGCATTGTATTGACGACATTAACCAGACGGGATTTTCTGTTACAGACGGGATTTTCTGTTATAGAGGAGATACCGCTCATTGTACCGCACTGTCCATTATAATCTGACGTTTTTTCAGTATTAGAGGAGGTAGCGCTCTATTCCAGGCGATAAAACTTAGAAAATTTTAAATCTACAAAAAGTAAGCCTATCGTACGGGGTTTTCTAAGCCTTCCCGCATAACTCACTCTTTAATTTGTCTTTGATGCGCCGCAAGCGTCTTGCGACGCATTATCCTAATGTTTTAATCATAACTGACAGGTTCGACTGTCCAATGACTTTTGAATCAGCACAAAATGAAGGCTGCATGCATAAAGATATTACAATTCGAAAAATTTATAGCTTTCAGTGAGTTTTGTGTAAGAAGTTAGCAATTTTTAGTTACTTACAAGCTCAAATAGGCTGTACAAGAGAGTAAGAAGTGAACTTGGATAGATCATCACTGTCCTTTGCATTGATGCGGGCTAAGTTTCACAGCGCCTCAGAACGGCCCATGATATCGAGCACGACGCCAAGCTAAATATATTCAATACCGTTTGTAGACATGCTATTTGAAGTGCTGGTGATTCTTGAGTTGGGCACATACTCGCCGTTAATGCCAGCACGACACGGCAAGCATGTGCCCGAGTCAACACGGACTGTACCTAGGTAAACCTATCAAACTTCATGAAAATAGCGATGACTGACGAATGTCACGCCAGTACTTATGTAGTAGCCAACAATAATAAAGAGACTGTGTCAAGATCACCAGAATAATAATTTTTAAGCATGGTAAGTGTGATGCTAGGGGCTCAGCATTGGTAGAAATAATTGCACGGCTTACTGGGAGCTCAGCATTTTGTAGCGACTGGTCTAAATTAAACCCAGAAATATGAAATTCATGAAGTACAATAGGGGTTCATATTTTTTGAAATAATTATCCGCCGAAGCGAAGCGGAGGCGGCAAGGCCAAAGCAAGTAGAGCTAAACCTAAACTACCGCCGCTACGCGGCGGCGCTCGGCTAGTATGTACTTGGTTCCGCTATCGTACACGTTAAGTACCGTTTTTATCCTATAAGATAAAATTGGTGGTATTAAAATAACAATAGCAAAAATAAGCATTTTTTTGCTCTTCCAAAGGTCAATATTTCGCGACTGTGGCATTAGTGTTAACCGGAGCTGGACGCAATACGTTGTCAGCGCTGTTACTGTACACAAGCAAACCCTCTACACAATTGATACCAAGACTGGTGTCCTAGGTCGCAGAAACGAACTGGTTAGACAACCACAATTTTCACCGCTTGCGAACTCCAAACCGTTCGACCACGCACGACCCGACCATTGTTCGAGTAATACCAGTCATCGTTCACGCGAGCGTTCACAATGTGCGTCTGCGGTTTCACCTCGGGCACCGGAATGTCTTCACCAGTGCCTTGGGTAGCCCAGTCCTGGTCAACGGTGGCTATGGCTTGAACATAGTACGTTCCAGTAGTCGCGAATTCAACAACAGTTGAGAACAACCCCCTGTTGTTCGCTTTCACTTTCAATCCCAGATCCTCGTGATACCATCGCGTAACCCCTTTCTGCGCTTGTGTATGGGTAGCATCAGTCGGGTCATCTGACCAAACCTTCAGCTGCGTGCTGTCTACCACGATGGCCCCCGCCAGGGCTCGGAAAAAATATTATAATATAATAACTGTGCAATTGTATTGACAGAATAATGGATTATTGGCAAATTGATCTTTCCGTAAAATATGCAATTGTGCCCGTAATAATTATATTGAATTTTTACCCAACGTAAAAAGCAACAGAGAGTAAAGTAGTGGTTGTCAAACATGCAATCAAAACGAATGGTTTGTGTGAGTTTGCCGGAGGCATCAGGCTGAGCTTTCGTGCCTCTCATTTCTCATTTCGCCAGTGCCATGTCAACTTCTCGCGCCATCTCCAGCTTTTTCTTCACGGACTGCGGCAACGGGCAGTTTTCCTGCAAGCAGTGCGGCAAGGCTCGCAAGCAGACGCCGGGGACTGGCTACACAAATCTCATCAGCCACCTCGCAACGAGCCACCCCGGCTACAAGAAGACTTACGACGAGAGCCAGCGATCGTTCGGCCAGTCCCTCGAAGCACACGGCTTCATTGACCCGCGCACTATGGAGATCTTCAAGTGGATGGAGTGGGTTCTCGTCCGGAACATGCCCCTGAGTGAGGTGGACGACGCCATGACGCGTGCGCTGGCTGCAATCAAGCCAGTGTCTTCGAAGACGTTGGTCAAGTACATGCGTCACGTGGCGGGCAAGGTGGGAACGCGTACATGGGCAACCAGTTTGGCCTCATGTTTGACGGCTGGACTTCAGGGACCTACCATTTCAACGCTATCTACGGTGTCTTCACGAAGGACGGGGCGCTACACAAAGTTTTGCTCGGGCTGTCTTCTGCCGAGCACGGCCAGACCGCTGATGCTCACATCGACATGATTGATGCGGTGCTGGATGTCTACAAGAAGGATCGCAGTATGGTCCTGTTCATGGTTGCTGACAACTGCCCTACAAACCAAGCCGTCGCTACGCGCATGGGAGTACCGCTCGTAGGATGCGCAAGTCATCGCTTCAACCTCGCTGTCGGCCGGTACCTTGAAGACTACAAGCCGCTGATCGACCAAGCCCAAACGCTGTGTATTCAGCTGCGGCACGCCAACAATGCAGCGGACCTGGCTCGGTTTACGAAGTACAAGCCGCTGAAGGCAAACGCTACGCGCTGGTCATCCACTTACCAGATGCTGGCTCGCTATGTGGAGATCCGGGACGCTATCAAAATGGTGACAGCTGTGGAGGACCTCCTTACCCGACCAAGCACCCATCGGCAGATTGTCCAGCTTGTCACTAAGCTTGAGGCGCTAGACAGCGTCTGTGTCAAGCTACAGGCCGAAGAAGGTAACCTTGCCGATGTGCGACTCCTTTTCGACGCTGTCATTTCCAAGTACCCAGGGACGGCACACCACCTTAGTGCATCGGCTCGAATCGTCCACTCGCCGGCCTTTGAGAATGCGGTTGTCAAGCTGCTGTCGGATCGACCGTTAAGCGCCGATGAAGAAGAAGCTGTGGCTCGTTTTGCTGGCCCTGCTGATCGCGAACCAGCAGCACCGAACAAGAAGAAGAAAACAGATTTCGCGACGGAAACGCTTCGTCAAGCGAAGAGACCTCGCCGAGCCGCTGGAACCAAGTACATTGACGTGCTACAAAAGGTTCCTCCAACCAGCAATCGCTGTGAGCGCCTCTTCTCGCAGTGCAAGTTGGTGCTCAACCCTCTACGCTCCAGCCTGTTGCCAGCTAACTTCGAGATCTTGGTGTTCTTACGCGCTAACCGTGAGCTCTGGTACTTCACTTCTCTGTTGGGGTTCCATGAGTCGGCCGATGAAGACGCAGAGTAGATGAAAGTCACTCAAGAAGGATAACCTCTTATTAGTGATAATATGTCTTATCATTAAATATAACAGGTATAAAACTCTTAGATACAAAACCCATATCCGCTGGTTTTAGAGGCCAATTTCACGAAATTAAAAACATTCCTTTGAAAAATTGTAGATGCATGATCTGATCATGCATTGCTTTCAAAGGACTTTTATTACAGTATTTATCAGTATTATACATAGTACTAGTAGTACCTTGTACAGCAGTTCAGTACTGTAGTACTTTTTTATATGCATGTTCACTCCTGTCGTTGACGAACCATGTTTACATTCAGCAAGAGGCTTATGCAGTGCTTCGAAGCACATAGAGATGCCGCCCCATCAGCATTGCTGACGAACCAAATCTAAGCTACATGTACATGCTCCGATTCACATACAGACTATTTTGTCCGCCGAGCTTCGCTTATTCACTTCACAATTCGAGCTGTCTTCCGCATACAGATTAAGATGAGGACCCTACTTGTGATTGGTGCCGTGGTTGCATGTATTACGATGCCACTCTCTGCCTCAGTGGCAATCACCACATATAAGGAACGGTCGTACGGTGAGATTGTGGATTATCTTCTCGAGCTCAAGACCAAGTACCCCGACTACTCTGAAGTATTCAGCGTGCAGGACAAGTACGACCTGCCCAAACACAAGGAAGTGAACTGCACTCGAAACATCGTGACAGTGCCTTGTGAGCAATACGTGATTAAACTTACGGACGAAGCAACGCTGCCAGACGCTGAGCGACCCGAATTGATCTTCAGTGGATCTGTGCAGGGTAACGAGCGAGTGGGTCCGCAGGTGCTTGTGGCTCTCGCGGAACTGTTGCTTTCGCACGCGAGTAGGACGGACGGTAACCCGTGGCTTCAGCATCTTGTGAAGACCCGCACTATCGTAATCGTGCCAACCGCGAACGCTTACGGCTACAGTCACAATGTCCGAAGGGAACTTGATGTTGACCCGAATCGCGATTTCCCATACAACTTGGGTGATAGTAAGGAATGCATGGTGACGACGGCTGCCCGTGCACTGAACGAGCTGTGGCGCGACCACTTGTTCCAACTTGGCATCACTTTCCACGCTGGTAGGGAATGTATCACGTACGAGTGGGGAGCCAAGAACCACGTCAAGGCGTCTGGCAAGAGCGACAAGAGCCCTGATAACCAAAGTCAGCAGCAACTCTCTCGTATCATGTCTCGATTCGGAGGTAAATTTGAAGAAAGCAATGACTATTACCCCGACGGTACTATGAATGACGTCGTGTATGCTGTTGACGGTGGCATGGAAGACTGAGGATATGCAGCCTCGTGGGAGAACGAATACACGACTCCGAAACCCATTAGAGAGTGTAACCCGTCTAGTTTCGGGGGATATCCAGCTGAGAAGACGAGGTACAACAATGCTACCCATCGTGCATTCAACGTCTTGATCGAGGCAAGCGACAGCAAACAGCCAAACACCACAAGCTGGGGAGAGCTCAACGCTCTCGGACGAAGCACTAAGTGACTATTTGCCAGCGACAGAAATGGTGGGGCACGTCCCTCGCAACGTTCGCTTGTCACTACTGTACATTGATCTCGTACAGCCGTATGTACTCTGGAAAACGGTGCCAGCGAACGTCATCGTGAAGAAAGCTGCAACGTTCGAATGGGAGGTTGCGGGGGCCAGAGCTCGGAAAAAATTAAAAAAAATATTGTATTGGATTTAGAAAAAAAATAATCCGTTATTCCGTATCGATAAAAACAATAATAAGGACTGCAATTATTGTCAGGAATTGGTAGGGTCAGAGCGGTGCAGTGGTTTGGGATGACCCTACCAATCCACTGCACAGGGTTCAAGTCCCACACCTGTAAGAGAAGCTACCGGGACTTTTGTCCGGGCTTAGGGTACTCTAGCAAACAAAAAATGCGCCTGCGACGGCAGGCAGTCCACTTGTGTGTAGCGAAAATATGTTTTGGTGCAACTAAAGTAAATTTGGCTTTCCTTCGGTAATCTATGACACAAAGATCTCACAGTGAAGTCCGAAAAATCTGGCCGATTTCGTTGATCGCGAATCTACATCACAACGCTGCACTTACTAAAGTGCGGTCGTGCGCCGCGTCGTAGTCCACGAACGGGCCCTCCGCAGCTACGTGCGGAGCCTTGTTGATGATGCCTAGTTTTACGTGGTACCAGTTTACCGTGCTCTTTAGTTCGGGCATCTGGTACAGCTCACGCAGATACTGCTCAACGTTGTGATATTCCGTCAGACGTTTGTCCGTCTTCGGCTGCCACGAGTCCAGTCGGATGAGCGTGTGAAACAGACGCACGTCTGCCTCCGTCACGCTGTTGCCTACCAAGAATCTCGTTTTGGCCAGCAGCTCATCCAGTTTGGTCAGCGCCTCATTGATCTTGACCGCAATCTCAGCGACAGCCTCGGGCGTCTGGGCGGCCAACTTCTTGTAGAAATACGTGCTGACTTCAGCACCAATTCCGTCATTGACTGCGTCAATCTCTGCTCGCAGCTCCTCCGGATACAGATGCACGTTTGACGGCACCAGTTCACGGAAGCCCGAGTCCAAAGTGCGTAGGATGCCGGTGGACTCCTCCGACACGATCGTGCCTGTCTTCTTGTCCCACAGCACAGGCACCGATAATGTACGCGGCGTCGGGTCAACCTTTTCAAACAGATCACGCACAAACGCTACATGGATCACTGTGTCTGGCACGCAGTCATCCGTCGGGTACGTCTCGCCATTGGCGCCGACCATCGTGGCGGACTTGGCGGGGTCCACGAAGGTCCAGCCCTTGTGCTCATCACTGGCGTCGTTAGGTTTGGTCTTCTGGAAAATGGAGTGCGCTACAGAGATGCTGATAACATCCTGCAGGCCCAGCAGATTGCGGGCCGAGAGAGCACGGCAGGCAAACGGACATGAGTAGGTGACGTAGAGGTGGTAACGACCCTTCTCGGCAGGAAATTGGGCATCGACATTGGGCTCGATCTTGAAATCGTACGGGGTGGGCTTGGAGGTGGCCATGATCGAGAGTGGGGCGAGCGGAGAGAGCTTGAGTTGACTTGAGCTTGTGGAGGTGAAGCGAGAAATGTGAAAGACAAGTGATCAGTGTCGAGACGTTACGTATTTCAGGTTACGTTTCTGAAAATGTAAACATCTGGATTGGTCAACAATCTACTAAACACGGACACTATTTTGGATAATATAAATCTAACCAATAACAAAACAGGAAAGCAAGAGCTCATCACTTCAAAAATGATGGCCAGCTTCAACTTGCATATTGATGATGCTGCAGCTTATCGTAAACGGCGTCGGACATGAATGACAAGATCAAAAACATGCTGTGGACATAACTGAGAATAATTAATGTAGCTATTATATAACTGCGGGTCTATGCTATCGTTATAGTCGAGAACCAATGCGGCAGCAAGGGCGACGACGTCATCGCTCTCTGCTCCTGTAAAGTCGTGTGGGGGTCTGATGAACAGATCAATCTTGTACGAATTGGAAAACGCAAATGTGTGATAGTCGCGTAGACTATAAAATCGATTTGCAATGTTATTAATAGACAGTCAACCGTGGCAGATAGTATGCTTTGATTGTGCTCATGCAGCTAATATGACTTCGTTGGGGCGCACCATGAGCCCATGACTAGGAGAGCACTCAAAGTACCTCACGCCTTTGATAGAGCCGTCATTTTTCCCCACTGGTGAGCTCAGAGCGACGCCTACAAATTCACCCTTTGCATAGTGCACCTGACCCGTGAACTTGACAACCTGGCAATACAACCTCATTAGTCTACACTGCCCTAGTTTAAACTTACACTGTGTCGTGAGCGTACTATAGATTCTTACCCCTGCATGCTTCCCGTGTATGTAAACTCTGCTCCCGATCGTAGGTGCTGGTACGGGAGCTTTCTCAGGCTCGACATGTTGAGATCTAGCTTCATTCTGCTTCATCAGGGCGCATTTTTCCTCCGTCTCCTCATTGTTTTGGGCTTTCAACTCAAAGTCCAGGCCTGAGCCCCGAAAATGCTCGTCATGGACATCAACTCGCCCTCTAGATCAGACCTAGCACGACAGCAACAAGAATGTCAATTAGCGAGTGGTAGAGCAACAGCCAATACGTCAACATACAGCTCTGAGTCTGCGTCATCGAACATCATGCCTTGTGCGAACATATCCATGAACTCTTGGTCGATATACGACGGGAAGTCTGGAGGCGCATGCGGCATTTGACGCTTGCCTTTGCGTCGGACATTGACGCGTACTCCTCCTTTGCCTTTCTTCCGTTTACCATGGCCACCGCTGCGTCCTGTCGCCTGTGGCTGAAGTCCGAAGAGCATGTCAAACATGAAGAGCATCTCCTCCATCGACGGTGTCCCAAATGCGTCATCATAATCAAAATCCTCCTCGTCCAATTCGCTGAAGTCTCCGAGAAATTCGTGAAAGGAATCTTTACAGCCTCGATTCAAGTAGTCGTCTACCCGCTTATAGGCAGCCGAGAGCTGCTGGAACTTCGCCGTGGCTGCTGGATCCGGATTCTTGTCCGGGTGGAACTGCAGTGCCAGCTTTCGATACGCTTTCTTTACTTCGTCCTGGGTAGCATCTCGCTCCAAGCCCAACGTCTTGTACGCTTGCTGGATGGAGATCGTCATGATCCGACGCTTCAAACAGAGAAATCTTCGGCAAATGATCATGAGGAGTCACGAAAGCCTCGAAACCGACACAAAACTAGTTCATGCATATCACATTTCTGAAAAAAAATCACTAAAAACGAAGGGCAAATGTGCCGTTCTTGCTGGCGCGTCTAGTCACAGCCCATTCAACGATGCACTTGTCTGGCTGGCACCGAGTCGGTAGCAGGGGCGGAGCCCAGACAAAAATTAGAGGGGGAGTTGAGCAAAAAATTAAAATTTAACCCAAAATTCAGTCAAAGTTAGTTTTTTTTTAAATCCGCCAAAAATGGGACTGGAATAATTTGACCCCTGATCGGCAGGGCTCGGACAATTAAATACAAAATTGAACTCGTTTCGCTGAAAAAAGTAATACGCTACTGTATTAGGGGAAAATGACAAAACCTGGGATGACTCAGAAAATAAAGACAAAACCAATTATCGTGACAAAGCCTGGGGTGGTTTCGAAAGATAGTGCCAGACTTCCAGGTAAATATACAAATGACAAATTCTGGTGTATTTTTTTTAGGTATGAGATTTTGAGTCGTATGATAAGACTTTAAAAGTTCCAATCAGATACTCAATGCCAGTGAGTTCTACCGCCGACTGGGATAGAAGTCATTATACGTCCGCGCTGGGCGTCGTCATTGCCAATTCGGCGTGAAACTACGTCCGGTATGGACGTTCCAAGTACTGGACCGACGACACTCGGTGTGAAGACAGGATCAACTATTTCTCTTGCGAAGGGCATGCAGTTCGCCCAGCGCAAAGAAGCAACGCTCCATATCAAGAACTTTGCACAAGCTCAGGGCAAACGCGCAATTACGTGTCAAGCCAAGTCCGGAGGTAACAACAGGCTATACGTGTGCGCAAGCAAAACCAATTGCTCTTTCCACACGCAGCTGATAAAGTCGCAGCGACAAAACTACTTCGAATACCACATCAGCTCGCTTAACGTTGCTCACGAGGGTTGCAGTGGCATTGTCAAGGTGACTGCTGCGTAAGTTGCTGCCATGGCTACCACTGTCGCTGTTGTCCACTCCAAAAGTGCACTTGATGAGCCCTCCCTACAAGACAAAGTCAAGGAACTTGAAGGAGCTCACGTGGCATGATGTATCGCGTCCGAGAAGTCTTGATGGAAGATACATCGCTCGATTATGCTGAAGGATGCAAGCGTGTTCAATCCCTATTAGTGCTGTTCAAGCGTGGAAACCCGACCTCCTACATTGACATTGAGTACACAGCTGATAACCGATTTCGTCGTGCGTTCCTATCTCATCCCGATGTCCACTTGCTTGGTGAGACTAGCCAAGCAGTGATTGGGTTGGATGGTGCTTTTCTGAAGCATAAAGGAGCTGATAATACCATACTAATTTTCGTCGGTCGCAATGGAAACCTTGAGAACATTATCCTGGCTGTCGCTATTTGTCCTTCTGAGGACGAAGTGAGCTGCGCTTGGTTCATGCGTTGCTGTGCCGCAGCTGGGGTTAATACCTCAAACCTTCCGTTTTTTATCAGACCGTGGGAGCGGGATTATCGCAGCCGCGACTTCACTTGGAATTCATCTCCAGAGCTGTACTTGGCACATCATTGGCAACATGAACGCCAAGTTTCGCGGTCAGGTGACGCAATACGTCGAAAACTGGGTTCGGAGTGTCCAAGGTGCAGTATCGAAGCCAGATTTCGAGTCCAAAATTGCAGCTTTTGCGGTCGGTTTACCGGACATCGCTAAATACGTAAGCGAAATTGAACCAGATCGCTGGGCTCTCCACCAGCATGTTCTGTCCAAAACGTTATACGGATGGAGAACGACAAACTTCGTGGAGTCGAAGAACGCCAAGGCTCTTCACGATTGAGGTCGGAATCCAACTTTTTTTTCAGTACTTTACGGAGAAGTGGATGCTGACAAAGTTCAAACGGTTTGATCAAGCACGTAAATGGCTGGATGCCGGCAAGAAAGTGACGCCAAAAACGAAAGAGTCCATGAGTGAGCAGGCCGAAAACGCTCGCTATCACGACATATCACTAAGCAATGAGGACGTTGGGTTTGTTCGTGACATGCGTGGCTTTCCACCAGTCCGTCGGCGTGTCAAATTACTGGAGCGAACGTGCACGTGCTCCTTCTTTTACCAGTACGGTATACCATGCTCGCATATCTACTCCATGCTCGCTTTCATTGACCAGCCCGAGCGCATCTTCGACTTCTTCGATCGGTGCTACCTTGTTGAAACGTACATGCGTGCGAACGACGCAGCGACGAGCAACATCGAGTTAGTTCTTGACGACCACATTTAAGCTGACGAAGAAGTGCAACCGTCTATTGCGTCACGAAAGCGTGGGAGACCCCGAAAGAAACGAATCGCTAGTCAAGGCGAAGCTGGGCGCTCAAGAAAGCAAACAAATGCTCTCAGTGTGGAGAGCTAGGACACAATAGTCGCACTTGCCAACACCAGTGAAGCTCAAAGGTGCCACGATACACCGTAGCAGACTAGAGCATTCTTGCTATCGTGCTTGGCTACAGTGGTGTATATTCATGCCCAAACCTAGCTAGATGTAAGCATTTGTTGAACTAGAACTAGGATATATTTTTTTCAGCCATACATTTGTGTTCCTGCTTTGGTTTTTCAATTATATTATGTTTTATCAACCCTATGCGTAATGTTTTTTCCTGCCATATTTTGCAGATTCTTCCATATTTCTGCAGATTTTTGCTCTGAAAATGCAGTGGTTCAAATTTTTAATTTTAAAACAATATAAATATTGTTTTAGTTATAATATTTTGAATAAATATAAAATATGAGAGGGAGAGAACTTGGGACTGTGCAAATTTCTCAAAAATCATGTTCACTCCAGCAAGATGGCACGCGCGAAGAAGGCGAAGACGAAAGTATGCCGGGTTTGCAAGAAAAGGCTATCGTCACCAACCGCGCTGAAGAGACACCGGATAAAAACGTTTTATTTCAGTACGACAGAAGTACGGCGGAGATGTGAGGCACGGCGCCTTAAGAAGAACGAGCGCGAACGAGCGCGCTATTACAAGACATTAATCGGGACATCCCTCAGCCAAGAATTGATCAAGCGCCTCCACAGACGCAATGCCGACACTCCTCCCGGCCCATGGTCATGAACTTGTATTACTACGTCAACGAGGACCCATCCAACACGGACACTTTGTTTATGGACGTTTTGATTTGTAGTGACAAATCCTGGTGTGCTTTCGGTTACCGTAAAGTCTGGCACTATATTACGAAACCACCCCAGGCTTTGTCACGATAAGTGGTTTTTGTCTTTATTTTCTTAATCACCCCAGGTTTCGTCATTTTCCCACTGTAATAGTGTCGGAGCCAATAAAAATTATTGCAATTAATTTAGAGTATTGCTAGGGTCAGAACAGTGAAGTGGTTCCGAAATCTGCTTTATTTAGTATTAGAGGTTTATCAGGCTCTGGACGGTCCACAATTGGGCAGATGCAGATTGTGAACATTTTATCTGGGTTGCTTAATCCCCATAGAGTGGTACTTAAGTAGATGTCTTTGCTTGCTCTCGTATGAATCAGTCATTTGTGGTGGACTACCAGCTTGCTGCTGCCACTTAATACCTATAGAAAGGTCAGTATAATTATTACGGGGATCTTTGTACATTTTACAGCCTTTTCCTTTCCAATAATCCGGTATTCCGTCATTAAAATACTACATTTATTAAATTATTTTATATTATTTTACGAGCCCTGCTAATGTTTTTTCCTGCCATATTTTGCAGATTCTTCCATATTCCTGCTAATGTTTTTTCCTGCCATATTTTGCAGATTCTTCCATATTTCTGCAGATTTTTGCTCTGAAAATGCAGTGGTTCAAATTTTTAATTTTAAAACAATATAAATATTGTTTTAGTTATAATATTTTGAATAAATATAAAATATGAGAGGGAGAGAACTTGGGACTGTGCAAATTTCTCAAAAATCGTGTTCACTCCAGCAAGATGGCACGCGCGAAGAAGGCGAAGACGAAAGTATGCCGGGTTTGCAAGAAAAGGCTATCGTCACCAACCGCGCTGAAGAGACACCGGATGAAAACGTTTTATTTCAGTACGACAGAAGTACGGCGGAGATGTGAGGCACGGCGCCTTAAGAAGAACGAGCGTGAACGAGCCCGCTATTACAAGACATTAATCGGGACATCCCTCAGCCAAGAATTGATCAAGCGCCTCCACAGACGCAATGCCGACACTCCTCCCGGCCCATGGTCATGAACTTGTATTACTACGTCAACGAGGACCCATCCAACACGGACACTTTGTTTATGGACGTTTTGATCTGTAATGACAAATCCTGGTGTGCTTTCGGTTACCGTAAAGTCTGGCACTATATTACGAAACCACCCCAGGCTTTGTCACGATAAGTGGTTTTGTCTTTATTTTCTTAATCACCCCAGGTTTCGTCAGTTTCCCCCGGCAAATTCCGTGCCTGACAGTGACAGCGCGAGGCCGTTAACAAAGTCGTGCAGATAAAACTCCGCGAAGCCATTGATGAGAGCATTAAACTGACGCTGTACGAGTAGCAAGCTTGAATACCGTATGGCGTCAGTATCGCTATCCTAGCATAAATGAATATGATGGCAAGGGAAAAAACGCACCTCCATGTCAGGTTAAAAGCTTTTAGGTAGAACTTACTATGACAGAAAAAAATCTTGATGCTACATACCTCAGCTCGATGCCTCCAAGTTAGCTGAGTAGCTCGATACGGAAATAGTCCGAGCGACTTTCCTACCCACCTCACGTGTCATGTCGATATCGAAACATAAGATACTTGCGACATCACAAAAGCGCTCGATGCTCTCACGAATCCCGCCACATTCACTAGACTCAGCTGTAGACGGCACGAGATGAGATAGTTTCCGCCTCTTCACGGGTCTTGGGAAGCATGGCAGACTGATCTCTGCATGTTCATCACCGGCTGACCTATCAAGCAGTGTCCTGAACACTGCGAACGCTTCGCTTGGATCAGAGATGTCTTCTTCTTGCACCTATCTCTTCAGTTCGATGATCACCTTCACGTCAGGCAACAACTTCAGAAGAAACGGGTGCTCCAAAACGACATCACTCAGAATGAACAGATCCGTGGATCCAACAAGATCAATATCGTGACGGGGGCGGACTTTTTTATGATATGTTGGCTATTTTCTATGTCATGTCATTTCGGCTTCTGTTTATGACATTTTGGCTTTTTTATAAGTCAGAGGATTAATTGTATGTTGAGGGCTTAATTGTATGCAGCTAGGTGCAAGTGTTTTTTTCCATGCAAGGTTTTTCTGTATTTTTTTGGGTGATTATATAGTTTTTCTGTTTGATGTTTCTAGACTATATATGCGTTATACATGCAGCTGCTGCTGACCTGCAACGTAGAACGCTTCTAGTTGGGTACTATGTTGTGTCCCATCTGGTACGAGTAGCTAATCGCTCTTGCCAGTTCTTCAACTCCCAAGACGCTAGCTTCCTCGTATTCCTCAAAATCGATGTTCCAGTATCGTTTACCGCCTCTCATGAAATGTAGCTTAACTTTCGCAACGTGGTTGAGCTCTGTTTCTTCTCCTTCGTCGTTTTTTTATATTCTCGGCCATCAGAATGCTCCAGTTGATGACACTAGCATGCTTATCCACCAACCGCTTGATCAGCGAGTCCACAGCATACTGCGACCTTCGAGGCCTGTCACGATCTAGGCATTTATTCTTTTTTCGAGGACGTCCAGGTGGCTTTCGAGCCGGTAGGTTTCGTAGCATAACCGGTAGGTCCAGGGTGTCTACGAGATGTAGACATGCCAAAACGTGAGCGCATAGCCAGCCGGCTTGGTAGAACTGCTTACAGTCGCACTTGAACTTACGGCGAATCATTTTTGATCTCGTCGGTGCTCCAGGAAGGATTGTCCCAATCATGCTCGAACGAAATTCGCTCTAAAATTTCCACGACGTGAATCGACAAATAGTGTAGCTGGATGTTCTCCACCTTCTCGTTTTGCTTTAGATTACCTCTGAGCGAGGCTTTGTAGGTTTTGGTTCGATTGCCGTTAAGCTTAAGGCCATGGAGGCTGTCATCGCGTACGATGTAGTGCTCGGCGTTGAAGAGATATTCTTGGATGCTGTTAACCGCCCGTCTGGACTTTTGTTTGTGAGTAGGGTAGTGGTTGGCTTCTTCGCATAGAGTCACAGCCATCTGCAAATCTTGTGCGCTCACTGGACCAGACGCATAATGCCTGATAGGCTCCGAGCCGATGTCCATAGCACATTCGACCAAGATTTTAGGCAAAGTTCCAGCCTGAATGTACCCCATCGCTGCTCGAAGATGACTTACTACCGTGGCCTTGATAGTTCAATTATGGGATTCAATCGGATTTTAGTTTGGCAGCACTCCAGCAGTGTCACTTGCAGTATAGAACCACAATCCCAGGGGTCTGTCAGATATTCAACTCTAAGCCACTGTGCGTACTCGGCTTTACCCAGCGTCTCTCAATTCTTGACCACTAGCTCAAATAAAACCTCGAACTGGCTAAGCGAGCTCGATTCGCTGAGGTAATCTAGTTGCAGCTGAATGATTTCTTGGTAGCGCTCACTTGAAGACAATTTATTTTGCCTCTGACATTGCGATACCAATGTGGCCAGCAGTTCAGATGTTTAATGCCAGGCCAGACTTGCTAACGGCTCTTGCGATAGCGGCAGAGTGATCCATTGATCCGTAGTTAAGCTCCAAAGCTCCACCAAAAACCAAATCACATTTGGCCCTGAAGACAGTGTAAAAAGCCATGCATACGTGGAGGCTGTTTCTGTCCGAGTGAATATTAACGCTTATTGGGTAAAAGTTCTGTTGATACTTGCTCAGTACCGTGTAGCGCACCGAACGAAACTAGTGTCCATCCGCCAAAATGGATCGTTTAAGTATCTTCCGTCACACCAAGCTCTTCCGGGGATCTGTCGATCAAACGTTGGTCTAGTACTTGCTGAGGAGCAGTCCTGAACAATCGTCTGGACGTGAAGAGAATCCCGACAGAAACCTCTCCATTCTCTAGAGGATCTGTAAAGCAATACAGTACAAGTAGCTCGTGCTGAAAGTTAGATGACTGCTGACAAACCACAATGCATCCGTGCCCAAATCATACTCGAGATGCTGGTGAAATTGCTCAAGCGTTGTGCACATTCTCGGAGCGGCCCACTCCATCACGTCGGCGTATTTTTTATTGAAAAAGCTTCACGTCTTTTTAGTCTCTGTGATCGATTCTTCAGCTGCTTGACACTAGGGAACATCGCACGCCGATCTGGCGAATTCCTATATCGAACTTGAGGTGTTGTCAAACATTTCTTATGACCTTGATCGGTGTCGATGTTCCTTCCGTCTTCCAATCGAATTCGGACTCAGATTCCGGAGAAAAAAAGGAGTGGGGGATGCCGATCGGTGCCCATCTGAGTGTCGTGACGTCTGGACAGCGAGCATGCGCTCTACGGCTTCTTGCTCGGCCTTAAGCCGGCCAATAGCGAGTGCTGCACAGTCTAACGAGACCCCAAGACGCTCGAACGGGCAGCGTTTTTTATTTGATAGGCTAATTAAGATGCCAAAATGGTTTAGCTATCAACTATACCCTAAGTTTAACGTTTTGTTATGGTGTCTAATTAACCAGCTCTCATGTTGTGCTGTTGTCTATCCGCTCCATCTAAAACTTTATCCTTCGCCTATGTCGGTGACACGTCCGCCAGTTAAGTTGTATCGGATTTTGCTGTCTAAACAATTCTTAGAAAACAATGGCTTACAGCAGTATCACGCACGAGCTCGTTTTATCCAATCTAAGACTTTCTATCTTTGTGAATCAAGTGACAACGTTTATTAGCAGCGTTGTTCTTACGGCCAGCTGTTACGGCCAGCTCTTCTGTTGTACATGTACTATGATTTGGCAGCTTAGTAGCTCAGATAATTAGATAATATATCTACAACAAAATAGTTGTAGCTATTAAAGTCATTGTACAGTACATTGCATAAACTATTAAGTACATACTGTAGTATACGTATATAATAGTATGGCCTCCAAAACACGCATTCATACGTGCACGCTAAGCACCTTGCAGCATAGGAAGCGTCTTTAGGGGCTATTTCATTTGAGAATAAGAAGCTCTCTCTGTTTAGCACTCAAATATTAAAGCAACATTCATTTTTAAAAAAGTAAATACTTCGTAATATAAAAACGATGCCGCCTTCGGATATCGCTTACAGTAGTAATTGTCATCAGCACATATAAGTTCTTTTGCTCAATCTAAACCTATCTATCTTAGTGGCTCAAGCGACAACGTTTATTAGCACAGCGTTGCTCTTACGGCCAGCTTCTGTTGTACATGTACTTCTGTTTGCCAGCTCAGTCGGTTACCTCACATTCAGAATATTCTTAATATTTCTACAACGAAAACAGTTGTAGTTATTCTTTTAGTCATTGCTTCTTGCAGAAACTATTAAGAATATAGTATTACGTATATTAATAGTATGGCCTCGAGACACGCATTCCTACGTGTACGCTAAGCACCTTGTACTTCTTTAGGGGCTATTTCATTTGAGAATAAGAAGCACTCAATATTAATAGCAACATCCCTTATTAAAATAGTTCAAATTAAAACTTCCTAGTATTTAAACGATGCCGCCATCGGATAATGGATAGTCTTGTGCAAATCTCCATATGTGCTCTGTGAACCACATGAATTTACTGATGTAAGCTACATAATTCAGTTTTAACCAATCGAAGCCGCCTTCGCTCCGCTTGGCAGCCAATGATAAAGCTCAAAAACCTAAGCGTTTCGTGTGACGGACGGACAGACACCGTGCTAGCATTGATAGTTTAGGACTAGCCGTTCGCCGCCGCTACGCGGCGGAGTGGCATGGTTTTGTTGGAGATGCGGTTTTGGCGAATTTACGTGCTTCTTGGTGTCGCGTACTTTGTTAGCGTCGTTCACCCCAGTACGTCGTGGCTTCGTGTACTTAACCACTTACCATTCCGTAGTCTCATGTGGGCCCGTATAATATCGCTGTTAGGTACGCTTCCGTTAACCCGTACTACAGGTTGGATGTCATGTTCTACAGTGGCCGGCGCTCTTCCGTGATCTCCCTGGCTTCGTGGCTCCCTGCTCACCCGAGGCCCACGCTGCATAGTGATTGTCCTGGATTTGTGGACTCATTCTCTCACAGTGCTTAGTGGTTGTGCGCTAGCTCCTTTGGTCTCATGCGCTCCCGTAGTACGACCCTCTTTCGTGGCTGCTAGATATTATGTGTCCTTAAGGGGTTACGTGGATTCCACATGCTTCGTGTCCATAATCATTCATGGTCACGTTCCATTTCTGGTACCCTCGCCAATGAGTGATCTTTCCAAGTTTTCTGTCACCTGTGTGCCGCGCACCCCTGTGGTGGCTCCATCTACCGCGTTATCGCGCTATCGTGCAATCGCAATGTGGTTATGCTGTATATGCTATCGTGATCGCACAATTTATATGTTTTGCCAAAGGTATCGCGTTCTACGATGGTTCCGTGCTCCGCGGTGTGCAATCGTGGTCTCCAGAAGCGTTTCCCAGCGATTTGTCGGCCGTCCGGGTAAACGTGTTTAATTGAGTATCGTCCTCAGTGGCTCGGCGATCTCAAGTTCTACAGTGCTATCGTGCTCAGTGAGTTCCCGTTGCTGTTTGTTCTCCCATGTATTAGTGGCTGTCCCATCGTCCATGCTATCATGCTATCTCTTGGTGTTGCGGATGGTCTGTCGTCCAAGCTTTTGCTATCTACAGTAGTATCGCGGTACCCAGTGAGCTCCGGCTCTACCCTGGTATCGTGTTTCAATACTCGACAACCTCCCGTTAATGGTCTTCCGCGGCTTCATGTTTGGTCAGTCGACTGCGCTCCGTGTTCTACCGTGGTGCGATGAGAGAATTGCTGTCCGTGCACTCTTAGCGCTACGACCTCTATTGTGGCTTTGAACGTGCGTGCTCTTTCGTAGCCCGTGCATTTCGGCATGCTGGGGTGTATACGTATTAAGTTCCCTTCTGTGGCCCGTACGCTCCCGTCATATTATTGTCCTTCTGCCTTTTTCATGGCTGCGTGCACTTCCATCTTTCACGCTACGTAAAACACTTCGTGGTTTGCATCGGCTAAGTCTTCTATCAACGTCCATGACCTTCCGTGCTTCGTGTTGCTCTTCTATCCCATCGTGTTTCGTGTTCTTGCTGAGTCACGTGCCTCCGCGCAGACTTGATCGCAAACGCTGTTCCCATTTTGTTTGATGTACGCAACATATATTGTTGGAAAGCTCACATAATATCTTAAGGTCACACACTACGCGCACAAATACAAAGGAAGGTGATATTTCTCCCGGAGGCAGTGTGAGGTGCAGGGGTGTAAGCCACAATAGTCATATTTTAAAGTTTTTAAATCATTCGAAATAGTAATACAATTGCTATTTATTAAGAAACGCTGATATAATTATTATGTGTACTACTACTACAAATGACTGCAAGCAAAAATATGAAATGGCTCGATAATAGTAATATGAAAAAATAATATTGTAAGTTAAATTAGTACAGCAGTACTACGAAGCCTAAAACATCATTATATATCCAATAAGTACTAAAGTTTCGATTGAGGCCGAAATATGCGTCACCAAAGCCTACAATTGTTTCCAACAGCTCCTACGACGATACAGTACGTGTGTGCCCATCGACGCCTTATACTAATGCTAAGTAACGCGCACACAGGCAGCGCCCTTTGCGTG